TCTTCCAAACTTCTTGACACAGTGATGCTTATTTGAGGCACGGTGGATGCACTGTCTCATGAAGTGTTAATTGAAATTCCTTTTGATGGGGAGGTTGAAAAACCTAGGGCTGAGTATGGCCGGATAATGGCAGTAAAGAAGACAGAAATGGCCATCCGAGTCTTCCTACTTTTGTTGTTATACACTCACATGCTCGTCCAATCGTAAAGGCATTGTACGTCTTTATAAACAGACCAGTGAGGATTAAAATTTTGCGAGAGGTTTGTTTTAGTTGAAAAAAAGATTACAACAGATTCAACACTAACCATATCGAAACACAACTCTCTCTCTCTAACCTGCGTAAATACCAGCTGCTTATTACGATACTTGGTAGAGTAGGTGTCTGTTAGGTTTTATAGGCGTGTACTAAACTGGGCTCTTTGTAATGAATTTAGGTTTGTCTGTGAGCATGTTGAACTTGGGGCGGGGTGGGGGTGGGGGAAATGTGAAGGCTGAAAAAAGAGGGTGCTTTTTTAATTTATGTTATTTTTATCTCTCCCCCACCCATGATTGGCCAATGTTCCCCTGAGGAAAATCTCGTCGAGATACTGGGTGGTCAGGCCAGGACAGAGTGCTGCCAATTAGGCTTCTAAATGTACCAGTATTTTGACAGGGCGTCTCCGGAGTGCTGATGCACTGCCACCGACTGTGGCAGGCGTGGGCGTAAGTGAAAGCACACTCGCGCATCTAACCAGCCTGCCTGAAACGAACTGTATTCTAGACTCTAGCTAACCAAGCGGAGAGCCTCTGAGATTATGTTCCTTAGCATTGGTGACTACAGTCACTGGGGTATTTAGGTCTACTTTTTACATCGTGACTCGTAGTGACCTTTAGTGGAGCACATATCAAAAGCGGTTTTAGCGCATATGTACGAGCAGAAATAACAGTACGTGACCTATCTCATGAAATCTGATAACGGATACTGATGTGAGAATTTCTAGACGTCTGTAACGTTGCACATTTTGCTCACTCATCCACATCCTTCAATAAAATGTTCTTTTCTTGTGCAGAAATTTTTTAAAGTAATTATATCAAGTAAAATATCAGTAAATTTAAGCGAAAATGGACGTTGGAATATATTCGTGCAGTGTCCTATGCTAATACTTGACCTAGACTCCAGTTACGCATGAGAGCTACTTTTTCATTCAAAGGATACTAATTGGACCGCGAGAGTTTTAATAAACAGATTAACTTGGACTTCAAAAGTCATTTTATGCATGATGCTAACCGTGGTAATCAGCTTGCAAACTCAGAGGTTTTTTAACAAAACTAGAGATTTTGGCAGTTTTTAAAAGTCAAATTAGCAGATCTCGGCGAATTGGTGCCCTAAAGTACAGTAATAACGCGGATAGGAATTCGTTCGTTTAAATGAGTTGAAATTGTTTTGCCGTTTGGAAAATTCTACCTGATGTCACATAAATGACCACCACCGAATGATCATTTTCAGTTTCAAACATATGAAACACTACTCGTAGTGTAGCTCAGTTTCTGTGCATAACTTATTCGGAAATAGAACGAGCAAAATATCAATAATTTCAGCAAAATATCAGCATTTATATTGGTGCTCTGCCGTGCATTCATGATCGAAGAACAGAGTCCAAATGTGAGCAAAAACAGTGAGAATGGCCTCAATATATAGAAAAAAGGCATGTTCTTACGTTCACGAAAAAAATACTAGTAAAGTTTAGGAACGTGAAGGAAACGGCCAAAAGTGTCAAATATTACTTGACCTTACAGTGCAAAAATGCAAAGTACACAGAGATTCGTCAACGGAGTCAAGTAATAAAGCACTTCATAAAGAGGTAACTTACTAAGGAAAGCGTTCTAATTGAGCAAAGGCATATTCGTTGCTGACTTTCGTTGTGGACTGCCATATTTTACGAAAATGAAGTTTGATGTTTGAATGAGTCTTCACATGTGACTCAAACAACCATCTTCGTGAAAAGGAGCGCCCGAACGCTCATTAATTCGGTAAATGCTCAGCGTAATCCAAAACGAAGGAAAAGTGTAAATTAATTGAACGGAAAAAAATTTCTCCCTATACTCACAAGATGGTATGTTCACGATCACGCTTGTCTGTTCTATTTAAATCTATTAGGCACTGATCGGCCTGATAGCCTGTCACCTTGTGAAAACTTTTGTTCCTACGAGGTCTGCATCGATAAAATCAAGCAAAATCCATCTCCTCTTGTTGAACATCATCTAATTTAACTTAAAAGAGTCAAGAATATTACGAATCCCTGAAAAACTGTTTTTGAATATACACTCAGAATGTAGGCAGTTGACAAACCGCCATGTATGAAAGTACACTAGTTCGTAAACGATAGTTAGATGTAAACTTAACTAAAACACTATTATTAAACGTTATTGCATTTTTTCTTTCATATTTACTACGTTTGCGACATGAGAATACATTCTGTACATCTAAAAACGAAGTTTATCAAATTAGAGCCATTTCTGACGTTTTCGGGATTTCTTAACAACGCAGCACTGCCTTTAATATTTCTTTTATGTTTTTATTCTTTTAAACTTGTGCTTAATTCACATAGACATTGGACTCATGAAATGGTGTCGGTTTGCAAGTGATTGGCAAGCATTCGTAAATTTTGACACATTTCATGATTTAGGTCACTAAATGTATATATGCTTAAGAGAATACTACGTTGGAAAGAGCCGCTGATTAACTTTTATACGTTCTGTCCGGGCCCTGCAGCTTTTGGCTTGCAAATAGATGCCTCTCTTTCTCACTGTTTACCGCCAAAACTTACCCTTGTTTTTGGTGTATCCCTCGAAAATGCTGTTTGTATTGTTATAGATGAGTAAAATAAAATATAGTAGTAAATCGATTTTTCTGATCAAACGAAAAACTCCATCTCTAGTGGGCCTATCAAAGGACAAATACAGCTCACGCCGAGGTGTTTTTATCCGATGCCTGAAGTTGCCGAAATCGCCAAAGACCATTGAATCCGATCGAGGTCTTACTACTTGAGTAAGTTAGGTTGCCTAAATAGATGAATCGTTGTGGCCATTAATCGAACGCTTAGCATGCACACATCGATTTCACCGAATGGCAGCCACCGCTACCGACAGTTCGACCGTCTTTGCCGACGATGACCACCGAGTGCTCCACGGCAAGGTAAAACAGGCGCGGTGATTTGAACGTGAATTTATTCATAATAATAGAAGACTTGACCAGCATCAACCGCACTCTCTCCTCCCCCACCTGGACCGGGGGTCAAAACATAGTCAAGAAGACCGGCGGCGGGGTAGGACGTGGGTGGATTGCACGGTCGAAGCCGCACCTTGGAGCTTCACTCCATACTCCCTGGTCCACACAGTAAATGACCAGGACTTTAACCATCAGCATTAATGGAGAGGGTCACAGGGGTTCCAGTGTGCCCGACGTCTGCCCGCAGCTGGGTCTGCAACCGCACCCAGAGATGTAGGCATTTGTTATGGTGCGCATCTCGATGACGCCTGCCAGGGCCCGATATGACCGCCGTGTTGGTCCAGAGCATCTACCACGTGGCCCGTTTAGGGAGGGCTATGTCATCCCGGACGACATGGTATGTTACCTGCAACTTTTGACCAGTAATAACATCACTCATTTGAAGCCTGTGACTTGTTTCTTTGGGGAATTTGCATTACCACGACAGGTTGACGATAAATTACTTCCATCCGTGGGGTCTTCTGAGGGCAGCGAAGGGCTGAGTTGGGCATGTGCGCAGTTCCGCCTCTATGTGTGGTAAGTCAGTGGGACCAGGTGCCCTGGCTTCCCGCTGTGGCCTTAGTTAGTTGGCTTCTTATGTTCTGTCTCTCTGGAATGTTTGGTCTACCTTGCTCGTATTCAACTCCTTTTGTCTTCCGGCACAGATTGCCGTGAATGCTTAGGCCCATCATAGTGCTCGCAAACTTTTTCAACGCCTTTCACTACATAAGCAGTTCACTAGGATTGCAACAGGCCTGACGCAGAAAGATGTTTCACGATCGTCAGTGGCCATAACAACGTCATAGGCCATAGGAAGTGAGGTATATAAATATGTCAGACAAGCCTTTGACTGTCACTGTTGTGGTTGTGATCTCACTCGATCCCGTCCTGTTCGCCTGTCAGCTTGCTATTGGCGACAACGAACGTTTTGTCTAAGGACACGTGCCACATATAATGCATAAGCAGCTCACTAGGAGTGCAACGGACCAGACGCAGACAGCTGTTTGACGGTCGTCACCGATCATCAGTACGTATATAAACATGTCAACTAGGTGTGTGGTATGTGTCCTATGGCACGACGTTCATTGTCGCCAGTAGCAAGCTGGCGGGCGGGCAGAATGGGATCGAGTGAGGTCCTAACCACAACAGTGAGGGCCACAGGCCTACTTGACATGCTTATTTATTTGTGCTGCAGTAAATAAAGCCCTTTTGAAAGTAGAAGTACAATATAAAACATCACTTAGAATCGTAAGTTCAGAAAACTGTTATCTTTGTAAAATGACTCGCACTTTCACTTCTCTGAAGGTGAAGATGTGAGTTGTCTCCAAATATATTTTTGTATGCATTTTTTTTAAAAAAGAAACCTCCTCACGAGTATGAAATACTGGCGCAAATCTGGATTATATTGTATACTTGGCAGGCAGGCTGTACAAGGTTGTGGATTCCCAATATCCTTATGTGGCATTAGCTCGTTTTTCTAGATAAAAGTCCAGAGGACCTCAGTTCCAAACATGGAAGTTTAAATAATTTCCTTCTGTAAATTCTCTCGAGGAAGTAAGTGCCAATCTCTGCAAATCGGCGGAAATAAGGTCCATTACGGAAATAGGCTTTTCGGTTGGATCTTATCTCTTAGCCGTACCAGCAGTAGACAAGCCCCAGATTAACCCCTAACCCTGACCCCTAACTCTTAACCCCAACGCCTAACCCTAACCCCTGGCTCCTAACTTTTTACCCTAAGCCCTACCAGGTACGGCTACATGACATGTTTCTCAGTACTATTATCTGCATCTGACAATGAATAAGAGGGCGAGCAGGAGAGGGCTCTTTTATTCTTCTTCTTCTTAATCTTCTTCTTCTTCGTCGTCTTCTTCTTCTTAATCTTCTTCTTCTTCGTCGTCGTCGTCGTCTTCTTCTTCTTCTTCTTCTTAATCTTCTTCTTCTTCTTCGTCTTCTTCTTCTTCTTCCGAATTGTGCATTTGAATTCAAGGTCTGCCTGATCGTGTTGAAGCTCAGTAGTTTTGTTTCTCCCTCTCGCAGCGACATCAGATGTGTCGTCGACGCAGCGCATTTGAATTTCGGATTTGTAATTCTCAGACGCACGTCTCTTGGGATCTTTGAGAGCAGACCGATTAGTCTGCTAGATATCGGTAAATCCTTCAGCGAGTCTTTGATTCGCACATTGCGAGTCCATCAAAGATGTAATTGCTCCTTAGTCAGCATACCGCCGCAATAGGGCTACCATGAAACTGTGGAAGTGTAACTCCGCCGAAGAGGCAGGTTGTCAGCTGTCAACACGGGCTGTCGGAATTAAAGTCGCAGCCGTTATCCTATGTTGCTAGAGATGACTATGAGTTCAACCTCATCGTATTCAAGGTTGTCGTTATCGCTCGCCTGGATGGATTTCTACTGATCACCCGAATGGTAACTTTATCGATCTTCTTTCTGCTCACGCGACCCTGCCAACTCATGTAGCAGGATCCCAGAAGAAGGATCGGTCAGATGTGGTTATGCAGTCGCACGTAAGGTAAACAAACCCCAGCCGCCTGTAATACGGGACCGGTGGTGATATGTTTATTTGCAGGTGGGGCCGGGGAACGCACAGGCGACGGTGTCGAGTAATTGTATGCAAAAGAAAAAACCATTGGTAATGCGCGGTTTTACTTTGAGTGATTGAGAAATAGCCGCCCTAATCACTAACCCTAACCCCGTACTCTAAGCCCTAACCCTAGACCCTGACCCCTAACCCTAGCCCGTAACCCTAACCCCTAACAGTATTGTGTCCATCAGGTGCGGTTACATAACCACATCTTACCGGAGGATCAAAGTGAATGGATAATAAACACATGCGACGACGAAAAAGCAGCCTCCGGCAGCTGGGGTTTACTAGTCCGACAGTGCGACGTGTCCTAAACAGTGATCTGCCTGTGCATGAACTGCGCTAAATTCAACAGTGTTTGATAACGGATAGCCGAGACTACGCATTGATTGGTCAGGCATTAAATAGACTTACTATTCGGGGATGATAGTTCTTTTGACTGGACCTCTGCTAAATAATAGGGAAACGTTTGCAGTAGACAAAAGTGTTGTCCAAATCAGAGGGTCGATGGGCTACATCGAACACTGCAATGAGGCAATTATTCAGCGGCATCAAAACAGGCTTCCATTGCTCCGTTCGCTCCCGACCTAGGTGTTTAACACATCACTTGTAGGCGCCTTAGATGATGGGATATGAAACCAACATGTGAACGACTATGCAACACGTGAACTCCGACTTTACTGTGTTACCATATAGCCGGCTCCCTACGGAACCCCATTTGTGATTTCAAACGACATTGTCTACACTCCACCTGCAAATAGTTTACTTCTTCATATGACCCGGTAATTAACTGGATTGGGTGTCTTTAATTTTTCTTCTCTCTCTCTCTCTCCCTCTCTCTCTCTCTCTGTCCTGGGCGTAAGTTCTTCCGCATTCAAGTATTTAGAATTAGCACCACCTATTGACCATAGAGACGCTAAGATGACCATAAAAAGCGTAACCTGCAACTTGCGAATTGCCTACTTGATCAGTGAGCGTCCCTCGACCATTTTATATTCCCGATCTCAACGGACAGGAGAACTAACTCGTAATTCAGGGGCTAGAGGCGTTGGACTTCTAACCAACAAGTCACGGGATCGAGCCCCAGGTGTTCCACATCTCGGGTCTGGGTATGACTGACTGGCGACGACTAAGAAGCCAGAAATGGCCATTCCACTCTACCTTGTCCTTGTCGGTAATATTACTCTGCATAGTTTGGTCTGCCATGTATTATCATGAGTATCCTTCTCTTTTGACTTGAACTTTAAGTACATTATTTTGAGCGAATGCAGGGTTTAATGACCTCATAAATTACGTAATCTCTCTTCCAACTGCGAAATTCCAGCGCGTAGCCATAAGAGCAGCAGTTCCATAGGAAGCGGAATAGACCTGTGGACAGGGAGAAATGTTAGCTAGGCCTGGGGTTGGGTCTAGCTCAGGGGAGGCGAACGGACGACTTATGACTTCTCCGAACAACTATCAGATTTTTATTTGAATGCTGGTTAGCACTACAAGTGTTACTTAGTCCTGAGTAATTTTCTTTCTATGACACCGCTCTTTCTCTCGCAACGTCATCCGTCCAGCCGGAATTGGCAATTATTTTGACAGGAGGCCGATGGTTACATCGACAGGAACTCGAGTCCCCTGACTGTCCTGCCACAGAAAACAATGTTACATCACAACAGATTATAATAAGTGCATATTTACTGCTGTCAGTTTCGTATTCTGCAATCGCCCACGCAGTGTTCCAGATTGTGGAGGCCTACGATGAGCAGCTGAACATTTTTGTCCATTTTGAGGTCGGTACTAATGATTTCGCAAAGGCCATTCAAAACACCCGCGCGTAATGATGCAGAATATGTGTAAGTTATAAATTTTGTTAAATTCTCTTCTGCTGAATAATGGACGCAAGATTGGACCCTGGTGCTGAACTCACTTTGTTTAAACTTTTCTCAAAAGCCACTAGTAAGTGAGCAAATTCATGTCTCATTCCCGCTCCCCCCTATCATCTAAACCCCGCGGCAACTGAAAAAAAACTGAAGCTAGTCCAATAATCCGGAGCAGTATTAAATAAGATATACGAAATCCTATAGGAGAAAGCAAACTTATGCCGACTTAGAAAGTACTCCCAAATTTGTTTTCTAGAATCTCCCAGTGTTTTTTTAAAATGTCGACGCCCATCCGTAGGACTGGATGCGCCACAGCTGCCCCTTTATTATATCCGCGAATACGCCTGGCACCGCCCTCATTTTTTTTAACTCCAGCAATGCCATTTTACGTTGGCGGCCGGTTGATAATAAGTCATAGGATTATAAATGCTGGGCAGCAGTCAGCTCAAACAAGGAGCATTACTAGACAGACAACCCAGAGTTTTGTCTGATTTGACTGCATAGAGGCCTTGTTCAAACTTTAACGAAGTCGAGAAAACTTGGTAGATATTTAACAACTCATTTTACTAGATGGGAACCTTCTATGCTTTATGTTGACACTGTGACCTAAGTAAATGTATAATTCAGCTCTATGTGGTCATATATGATTAGTTTTCATTTTATGTTAATTTTTGCCTAATTACTTGAGAGGTCTTTTGAAATCCCTGAGTGTATATTACGACTGAGTCTGCTGGCAGCAGTTTATACCTTGCCAACAAATACGTTTTATGATAGGTAGTTTATTAATTTTCAGTCCTAACTTTAGTTTCCTGAATGGCTTCGTGTAAAAAACGACGTTGACTAAGAAATAACATTACCCTCCATGAATAGGGGATCTGATTTGCAAAAGCGAAAAACTGATGCTAGACATAATTTTCGACTTTGATTTGTGCTGAATGGGCGAACTTTCACGAAGCGTGGCAGTTTTAGAAACCGTTGACTAAAACGATAACTCGACCATTGTCACGGATGATGTCCACCGTTCAGAAGAAGAAGAAGAAGAAAAAAAAGATGCAATCACTGGGACGAGAAGTTTATTGGCCTGAAGTTTCAGATTATCGTTCAACCCACCATCAGAGACAGTCTCAGAGGAAGGTAGTGAAGGCACAAGGCGTGTAGTACTTATAGTACGTAGGTGCCATGGGATCATATGAGTTCTATAGTCAACAGCCCTCGCGATCACCAATGGGGGTCGCAATTAATGTGATGATGATTTGTAGGTCCTAGTCCAAGTCCATAAGGGCTACGATTTCATCCTCCGCGTTGGGTGTTGGCGGGATTATTACTCGGCAGTATGACTCGCCTTCACTAGAACTGTTGTTCGCCCGCGCTCTCAACGTGATGAATTTCCTTGTCTAAGGAAAATCTCAGCACTGTATATGGTAATGGGAGGTCGCTGCGCTTGTTGATGGATTGTGTGCATAAAAGCCATGACTAGAGCAATTTGAGGCTTGCGCAGTTGTCACCTCTTGCGAGGATTTCGGCTTTTCGGAACTTGAAAATATGGCTAAGTCCCGTCCGACGAGTCACCGTCTGAGAGGTAGGCTATTTCCTCCTCGCAGCTGCCACGTGCTCAGCCATCCGCGTCAGAAGTAATCTCCCAGTTTCGGTGGTGTTGTTGCTCTGTCCGTAAATGACCAGCATGTGCCTTTTAGCATGTTAGGTGTGGAAACGGTGGATTTCGCAAAAATTAGTTTATAGTGATTGTAGACCGGTGCTGTGTCTACCGCACCCTCTCCTCACCTTACACACCTGAGAGCGTTAAAAAGACAAAGTCAAGCAGATCGGAGCAGGAATCGGTCTCAGTGGCTGGTAGAGTCAAACATTCTGTTTACGCGTGCCACACAAATACACCTGGTTCGCGCGTGATCTGACGGGGTTTTCATCAAGGCAACAGATTGGGAGAGATTCGGATTCCAAATAAGTGGAAGTGTCGTAGAGAACACATAAAAAAGGAGCCATATCGGCCTGTCCCGCCGTCCTGAGGAAGGGGTTGAGTTATTTGGTCGATTGCTGGCCTTCCATGTTACGGTTGTTAGCACATTGTGATAATTCAAAAACCCGTCAGATTGTTTATAGCGAGGAATATGTGCTGAGTACAGTGGGCAGGCAGTCTTAGTATCTACCTTACTCTCTCTCCTCTCTCTCTCTCTCTCTCAGGCATCAGTCTATTGCCCAAACCGGTCAGCTTTCTGATGCGGTGGTTTGAAGTGAGTGGCTGACGCGGCGTACTCCTGCTGGTGGACGTTCCAAGACACCCCAATGTGTGGCAGTTGTCATGGGTTTACAAACCTATAACGCGTACCGGACCCTGATCTTATCCCCTGCCGGTTCAGCGCTACTACAACTTGGTCCGACGTAAAGGGCACTTTAACTTACACAATATATATATATATGTTTATTCCCGATCGAAAGCCGACAGGGCAACGGACTCGTGGCCCGGTGGGTAGAGGCGTCGACTTCTAAACCAACAGGTCGCGAGTTCGAGGCTCGGGTGTTCCACACTTCGGGCTTGGGTATGGCTGGCTGACGACGGCTAATAAGCCAAAAATGGCCATTCCAGTC